AACTACATCCGTGTCCGGAGTAAAACGATAAACTACATCCGACAGCAAGGCCTCTGATCAGAAGGTCTTGGGGAGCGTGGAATCACCTCTTAATTGCTGATGTTCAAACTGACCTTAAGTGCATTTTATGCAGATGACAGTGTTGCTAGCGGACACAGAAAGGAAATTACAGAAACTTCTACATAAGGTAGTAAAAGAAAGCAAGAAGAAAGGACCAAACACCAGTTGTAAGGAGATATTTTATGCAGATGACAGTGTTGCTAGCGGACACAGAAAGGAAATTACAGAAACTTCTACATAAGGTAGTAAAAGAAAGCAAGAAGAAAGGACCAAACACCAGTTGTAAGGAGATATTTTATGCAGATGACAGTGTTGCTAGCGGACACAGAAAGGAAATTACAGAAACTTCTACATAAGGTAGTAAAAGAAAGCAAGAAGAAAGGACCAAACACCAGTTGTAAGGAGATAGAATATATGTTTGGGTCAGATATAAAATTTAAAAAAATATATATAAACTAGAAATAGCACCAAGTCCTTTAGCAGATTTCTAATCTCTAAGCTTAGAGAGTTACAGAACTGGTATGGCTGCAGGAGTTGTCAGAAGCTTGTCAGGGTTGACAGGAAATCATCTTCGGTGGTTCACTCTGAATTTTCTGTCTGGATTTGCTTGCATAGATTTTTCCATGTTTGGATATGGCTGCAAGGCAGCAGATGTTTAAAATCAGAGTTTTCCTTCTAGATATACTGCTTTCCTGGGCTGATGAGATACATCTACCCAAAAGCAGCTGGTTATGAGGCTCCAAGCTTATTGAGACGCACAGCATGAGAGCATTTTATAGACAGTGGGAGCTTGTCCCCACTACCATCCCCAGCTTTGTCAACCTTTGTAACATACACAATGTACATATATAAACATTACATAAATTTCTAGAAGCTCAAAAAAATTAACTTTTTTTTTATACAGGTTGAGACAGAAATACCTCCTACATTTTAAACTGTCACTTGTATGGTGCTAGTGAACTTAGGCAAGTAGCAATGGTGTATTCATCTAGCTAATGTCTTACCATTTTCTTATATACCAACAGTTGTCATCACAGCTTGGACCAATGCACACTGTGCATTTGCTACTGCAACGTTATTTTTTAAGACTGATGAAATTGTAATTGCAACTCAGAAAGCTTTTCTTATTCACTTTATGTTACGTCGGAATGACGCTGTTCCGGATAAAAAAAAGATCGATACTGCTATGGGCTGAAAAATTCGTGGCCACAGGTTCAGCGCTTAAAAGAATGCTACCAGGAAGACCTTGAAGCGCCAGAACTCCAGAAAATGTCAAGGCTGTGAGACACACTGTTCTATGATCTACACGTTCAATCCATAAACACGCTTCTGCTTTTGAATTGCCTGATTAAACAGTCAGAATAATTTCACACAACGATTAATTTGTATGGATGAAATTTAATTCCATCCATACAAATTAATACCTTTTCCGGAACTGCAAGAACACGACTGGGAAAATCGCATGACATGCTGTGAAGATATCCTTCAAAATGTTCCTGCAAATACTGTTCTTCTCACAAGTAAAGCTCACTTTCATTTCTCTGGCTGAGTCTATGAGCAGAATGTTCACTACTGGGCGGAAAATAAACCTAAATACCTTCATGAAAGACCTCTGCACAACGAACGAGTGACTGTGTGGTGCGCAGTTGCGAAATTTGGTGTAGGGCACTAACTTTTTTTGAGGGGGTAGACGAATCGGTTGCAGTAACATCTGACAGGTACGTGGAGATGCCGCAGGCCTTTACTTTCGGCCTTGTGTCATATCAAAGCTAGGCTTAGATAATCATTTGAGAACCTCAACCTGGTGCAATGGTTAGCAATTTTATCTCGCTAGATCAATTATGGTTGAATAGCGATTTGAATCCTTACTAAGTGCCCAATAATTTCGGCCTTGTGCCACATCTGAGCTAGGCTTAGATAATCATTTGAGCACCTCGACCTGGTGTAATGGTTAGCAATTTTGTCATGCTAGATCAATTATGGCTGAATAGTGAGTTCGATCCTCACTGGGTGCCCCATACTGACTAATCTGTAATTGCAACACAGAAAGCTTTTTGTACTCATTTCTTTTTACGTCAAAATGATTCTGTTCCGGTTAGGAAATCGATACTGCTATGGGCGGAAATTTTCAGGGCCACAGATTCAGTGCTTAAAAGTAAGTCACCTGGAAGATCTCAAAGCGCTCAAACTTATGGTGATAGAATACTTTAGAAATCTTCTACAACAGTAAATGGCCAATAAAGGCCACCAGTTTGGGGATGTATTTTTTACAACTAAATGAATAAAAACTATAGCCCTTTGTTTAAACAGCAGTGAGATGATTTTTTAATAGCAGTAACCTCTTGCAAAACTTTAAAATGTTGGAGGTATTTCTGACGCACTTTCTATAATTGAATAAAATAATATTGTACATCATTATTTAATATTAAACACGAGAAACAAACGTAAACTTATCAATTGTTCAAACTAATATATATAATTTACAATCAGGTTAAAAATTTCGATGAGCTGTTTGCGTCTTTCGAACTTTTTAGGAAAAGGGTACCAAAATGAATCTTATACGCACAATTATGACGTAGTTATTGAAATGTCTGGTATGCTTGGAGGATTTAATACTCGCTGGGTGTACTGAGCAAAATAAGTAGAGGGGGGAAATCGGTTGATTTACGTAACAAGTGTAAGTGGATGTTTATGAGGGAATGGAAAAATTGTAAATGGACAACGATGCTTAAAACTACAAAAAGACAGATATCTTGAGGTCCATGTCCTGAATAATAAATGAAAAAGCATCTTTCAAACCAGTCGAGGAATGTTTTTCAATTAACGAGTGATTCTTTCTTACAGATTATCAACCCTTTGCAGGTTAGAATATGTTTTTAGATTGTATTTGGGGAGGGGAGAAAATTATGATTTACTGATACACGTCTTACTAACTGACCTAACTGGCTTGGGGGGAGGAAGAGGTGGATTCATATCTTACGCGGGTGTTTGCGCGTAAGTGAATATAACGCACCCAGCGGCAATTCGAAGTCGGCTCACCGATTAACAATTCTGAACCATTATCCATTACAGAAACCGTATATACAAGCGTATATCACCTGGTTTTCCCAAGCGGTACTAAACAGACTCGGCGTTGCTTAACTTCAGTGATCCTACGGGAAACGGTGTTTCAATGTGATCTGACCATAAATCTTTACGCGGCGATATTCATAGTATTAGGTTAAAATTAACCACCATACGTGATACACGGTTGGGCGATTCTAGTCTCCTTCGATTCATAACTGATGAAGCAGGAAGTGTTCCCGTTGGTTGTCATTTCTTTATGCGGTAGACAGGTTGCCAGCAAAGGCTATAAGTTCCAGGCTATTCAACCCATAGCTGGAGGAAGAAGAGATGGATTCATACCTTTTCCATGGGTATTTACGCGTATGTGAATGCAACGAACTCGACTGGAATTCGAACTCTGCTCTCCGATTCCCTTTACAGTATCCAAATCAGGTCTAAAATGGATTACCGCTGCCATATATGAGTAGGAGCTGCAGACTCTTCCATTTCCACTCTCGATAATTGAATTTTTTTACTTATTGTTTTAATTAAAAACAATAAATAAAAAATGAAACTACAGATACTAGAAAAATCATCGGTTCCTAATACTCCTCGTTCACCTTGTCTCTACCTTTCAGTCAGTCACTTAAGTGCCATACATGATACACGCTTTTGAACCATGACTGACTAGACAGAAGTTATTCCCGCAGTAGGTTGCCATTTCTTTCTGATTTAAACGGGTTGCCAACCAAGGTTATAGAATATAGTTTTTCTTTTCATAATTTGGCATAATAGCTTATCTTCATTCGGGATACAATAGAATTAATTAGCTTTGCTTATCGCCCGGTTCACACTCCTCCGCGATCATTTGAACAGGAGTAGAGGCTTAACGTTTGTTTTCTGTTTAGGATCGGGTTTCCAGTTCATTTTAATGTCCTTTTCATTTTCTTTCCATCTCGGTAAACCCCACTTGCTTGAGTTGAATTAATTAAAAAAATATTTTTGAGGATCTAGTACTGAAGAACGAATCGTTGCAACAAATTTTGCAGGTGTCTAGTGGCGCTACATCATCACCGAGCAAACCTTGAATTTTCACCTATCGCAATATGTTCTGTCAGGGGAGGGCCCCGTGCCGAGCGCCTATCGGGACTTAAACTCAACCCAAGAATTCAAGTGGAACTCGTGCATGAAGTCCATCGCTAAAGATACTGGGGAAATCTTATTCCTCCTTCTCCTCCTTCTCCTCCTTCCTCTCCTCCTCCCATCCTCTACGTTTCAGTCAGTCAAACAAAAGGGTACGATGAGTCTGTTAGGGAGGAGGGAAGAAAGAGAGTATGATGAGTCTGTTAGGGAGGAGGGAAGAAAGAGAGTATGATGAGTCTGTAAGGGACGAGGGAAGAAAGAGATTATGAGGAGTTTGTAAGGGAGAAGGGAAAAAAGAGAGTATGATGAGTCTGTAAGGGTGGAGTTAAGAAAGATAGTATGATGTCGCTGTAAGGGAGGAGGGAAGAAAGAGTGTAGGATGAGTCTGTAAGAGAGGTGGCAAGAAAAGGGTATGATGATTCTATAAAGGAGAAGGGAAGAACGAGAGTAAGATGAGTCTGTACAGAGGAGGGAAGAAAGAAAGTATGATGAGACTGTAAGGGAGGAGGTAAGAAAACGGTACGATGAGTATGTAAGGGAGGAGGGAAAAAAGAGAGTACGATGAGTCTCTAAGGAAGGAGGGAAGAAAGAGAGTATGATGTCTGTAAGGAAGGAGGGAGGAAAGAGAGTATGATGAGTCTGTAAGGGAGAAGGGAAGAAAAAGAGTATAATGAGTCTGTAAGTCAGGAGGGAAGAAAGAGAGTTTGATGCGTCCATAAGGGAGGAATAAAGAAAGACAGTATGATGTGTCTCTAAGGGAGGAGGGAAGAAAGAGAGTATGATGATTCTGTAAGGGAAGAAATGGGTATGATGAGTCGGCAAAGGAAGGGGGAAGAAAGAGAGTATGATAAGACTGTAAAGGAGGAGGGAAGAAAGAGAGTATAATGAGTCTGTAAGGGAGGAGTGAGAAAGAGAGTATGATGAGTCTGTAAGGGAGTAGGGAAGAAAAGGGTATGATGAGTCTGTAAGGGAAGAGGGAAGAAAGAGAGTATGATGAGTCTGTAAAGAAGCAGGTAAGAAAGATAGTATAATGTCTGTGTAAAAGTGAAGGAGAAAAGGGTATGATGAGTCTGTAAGGGAGAAGAGAAGAAAGAGTTTATGATGAGTCTGTAAGGAGGGGAGAAGAAAGAGACAATGATGAGTCTGTAAGGAAGGGGGAAAAAAGAGAGTATGAAGAGTCTGCAATGCAGGAGGGATGTATGAGTATGATTAGTCTGTAAGTGAGGAGAGAAGAATAGGGTATAATGAATCTGTAAGGGAGGAGGAGGGTAGAAAGAGAGTATGAAGAGTCTGTAAGGGTGGAGGTAAGAAAGATAGTATGATGTCTCTGTAAGGGAGTAGGGAAGAAAAGTGTATGATGAGTCTGTAAGGGAGGATGGAAGAAAGAGAGTATAATGAGTCTGTAAGGGATTAGGGAAGAAAGAGAGTATGATGAGTCTGTATGGGTGGAAGTAAGAAAGATAGTATGATGTCTCTTTAAGGGAGAAGGGAATAAAGACTGTATGATGAGTCTGATAGGTAGGAGGGAAGAAAGAGAGTATGAGGAGTCTGTAAAAGCGGAGGGAAGAAAGAGAGTATGATGAGTCTGTAAGGGTGGAATTAAGAAAGATAGTATGATGTCTCTGTAAGGGAGGAGGGAAGACAGAGTGTATGATGTGTCTGTAAGGGTGGAGGGAAGGAAGAGAGTATGATAAGTCTGTAAAGGCGGAGGGAAGAAAAGGTTATGATGAGTTTGTAAGGGAGGAGGGAAGAATAAGAGTATGATAAGTCTGTAAGGGAGGATGTAAGAAAGAGAGTATAATGAGTCTGTGAGGGAGAAGGGGAGAAAGAGAATATAAATCGTGTGTAAGGGAGGAATGAAGAAAGACCGTATGTTGAGTCTCTAAGGGAGTAGGGAAGAAAGAGAGTATGATGAGTCTGTAAGCGACGACGGAAGAAGGAGTGTATAAAGAGTCTGAAACGGAGGAGGAAAACAAAAGGGAACGATGAGTCTGTTAGGGAAGAGGGAAGAAAGATAGTATAATGAATCTGTAAAGGAGTAGGAAAGAAAGTGAGTATGATGAGTCTGTAAGGGTGGAGGGAAGAAAGGGTATGATGAGTCTGTAAGGGGGGAGGAAAGAAAGAGAGTATTATGTGTCTGTAAGGATGTAGGGAAGAAAGAGAGTATGATGTCTATGTAAAAGTGAAGGAGAAAAAAGTGTATGATGAGTCTCTAAGGGAGTAGGGAAGGAAGACTTTATGATGATATGTAAGGAGGGGGTAAGAAAGAGACTATGAGGAGTCTGTAAGGAAGGGGGAAAGAAAGAGAGTATGATGAGTCTGTAATGGAGGAGGGATGAATGAGTATGATTAGTCTGTAAGTGAGGAGGGAAGAAAAGGTTATAATGAATCTGTAAAGGAGTAGGGAAGAAAGAGATTATGATGAGTCTGTAAGGATTGAGGTAAGAAATATAGTATGATGTCTCTGTAAGGGAGGAGGGAAGAAAAAGTGTATGATGAGTCTATAAGGTAGGAGGGAAGAAAGACAGTATGATGAGTCTGTAAGGGCGGAGGTAAGAAAGATAGTATCAGGTCTCTGTAAGGGCGGAGGGAAGAAAAGGTTATGGTGAGTTTGTAAGGGAGGGGGGAAGAATATGTGTATGATAAGCCAGTAAGGGAGGAGTGAAGAAATGGGTATGATGGGTCTGTAAGGGAGGATGGAAGAAAGAGAATATAACGAGTCTGTGAGGGAGCAGGGAAGAAAGAGAATATAAATCGTGTGTAAGGTAGGAATGAAGAAAGACAGTATGTTGAGTCTCTAAGGGAGGAGGGAAGAAAGAGAGTATGATGAGTCTGTAAGTGTGCAGGTAAGAAAGATAGTATGATGTCTCTGTAAGGGTGGAATGAAGAAAGACAGTATGTTGAGTCTCTATGGGAGGAGGGAAGAAAGAGAGTATGAGTGTGTAAGCAACGACGGAAGGAGGGTATAAAGAGTCTGAAACCTGGGAGGGAAAAATGGTACGATGAGTCTGTTAGGGAGGAGGGAAGAAAGAGAGTATAATGAGTCTGTAAAGGCGGAGTGAAGAAAAAAGTAGGATGAATCTGTAAGGGATGAGGGAAATAAGAGAGTATGAGGAGTCTGTAAGGGAGTAGGGAAGAAAAGGGTATGCTGTGTCTGTAAGGGAGGAGGGAAGAAAGAGAGTATGATGAGTCTGTAAGGGTGGAGTTAATAAAGACAGTATGATGTCTCTGTAAGGAAGGAGAGCAGAAAGAGTGTATGATGAGTCTGTAAGGGAGAATGGAAGAAAGAGAGTATAATGAGTCTGTAAGGGAGCAGGGAAGAAAAGGTTATGATGAGTTTGCAAGGGAGGAGGGAAAAAAGGGTACGATGAATATGTAAGGGAGGAGGGAAGAAAGAGAGTATGATGAATCTGTAAGAATGGAGGGAAGAAACAGGGCATGGTGAATCTTTAAGGGATGAGATAAGAAAGAAAGTATAATGAGTCTGTAAGTCAGGAGGGAAGAGAAGGTTACGGTGAGTTTGCAAGGGAGGAGGGAAGAATGAGAGTATGATGAGTCTGTAAGGGAGGAGGGAAGAAAGAGATTGTTTTGAGTCCGTAAGGGAGGAGTGAAGATATGGGTATGATGATTCTGATAGGGGGGAGGGAAGAAAGAGGGTATGATGACTTTGTAAGGGAGGAGGGAAGAAAGAGTGTATGATGAGTTTGTAAGGGAGGAAGGTAGAAACATCGCATGCTGAATTTTTAAGGGAGGAGGTAAGAAAGAATGTATAATGAGTCTTTAAGTCGGGAGGGAAGAAAGATTGTATAATGAATCTGAGAGGAGGGAAAAAAGGGTACGATGAGTCTGTATGGGAGGAGAGAATAAAGAGAGTACGATGAGTCTGTATGGGAGGAGGGAAGTAAAGGGTAAGATGATTCTGTAAAGGAGAAGGGAAGAAAGAGAGTATGATGAATCTGTAAAGGAGGAGTGAAGAAAAGTTAATGATGAGTCTGTAAGGGCGGAGAGAAGAAAAGGTTATGATGAGCGTGTAAGGGAGGAGGGAAGAAAGAGTTTATGATTAGTCTGTAAGGATGGAGGTAAGAAAGATAGTATGATGTCTCTGTAAGGGAAGAGGGAAGAAAGAGTGTATGATGAGTCTGCAAGAGAGGAGGGAAGAAAGAGTGTATGATGGGTCTGTAAGGGCGGAGGGGAGAAATAGTTATGATGAGTTTGCAGGGGAGGAGGGAAGTATAAGAGTATGATGAGTCTGTAAGTGGGGAGGGAAAAAGGGTTCGTGGAATCTGTCAGGGTGGAGGGAAGAAAGATAGTATGATAAATCTGTAAGGGAGGAGGGAAAAAAGAGAGTATGATGAGTCTGTAAGGGCGGAGGGAAGAAAAGGTTATGATGAGTTTGCAAGGGAGGAGGGAAGAATAAGAGTATGATGAGTCTGTAAAGGAGGAGGGAAAAAAGGGTACGATGAATCTGTGAAGCAGGAGGGAAGAAAGAGAGTACGACGAGTCTGTAAGAGAGGAGGGAAGAAAGAGAGTACGATGAGTCTGTAAGGGAGGAGTGAAGAAAGGGGGATGATGATTCTGTAAGGGAGAAGGGAACAAATAGATTATGATGAGTCTGAAAGGGAGGAGGGAAGAAAAAGAGCACGATGTATCTCTAATGGAGGAGCGAAGAAAGAGAGTATGATGAGTCTGTAAGGGAGGAGGGAAGAAATGTGTATGATGAGTCTGTAAGGGTGGAGGTAAGAAAGATAGTATGATGTCTCTGTAAGGGAGGAGGGAAGAAAGAGTGTATGATGAGTCTGTAAGAGAGGAGGGAAGGAAGAGAGTATGATGACTCTGTAAGGGAGGAGGGAAGAAAAGGTTATGTTGAGTTTGTAAGGGAGGAGGGAAGAATAAGAGTATGATAAGTCTGTAAGGGAGGAGTGAAGAAATGGGTATGATGATTCTGTAAGGACGGATGGAAGAAAGAGAGTATAATGAGTCTGTGAGGGAGAAGAAAGAGAATATAAATCTTGTGTAAGGGAGGAATGAAGAAAGACAGTATTTTGAGTCCCTAAGGGAAGAGAGAGAGTATGAGTCTGTAAGCGACGAAGGAAGAAGTAGTGTATAAAGAGTCTGAAACGGAGGAGGGAAACAAAAGGTTACGATGAGTCTATTAAGGCGGAGGGAAGAAAGAGTGCATGAGGAGTCTGTAAGGAAGAAGGGAAGAAAAGGGTATGATGTGTCTGTAAGGGGGGAGGGAAGATAGAGAATATGATGATTTTGTAAGGGAGGAGGGAAGAAAGAGTGTATGATGAGTCTGTAAAGGCGGAGGGAAGAAAAGGTTATGATGAGTTTGCAAGGGAGGAGGGAAGAATAAGAGTATGATGAGTCTGTAAAGGAGGAGGGAAAAAAGGGTACGATGAATCTGTGAAGCAGGAGGGAAGAAAGAGAGTACGACGAGTCTGTAAGAGAGGAGGGAAGAAAGAGAGTACGATGAGTCTGTAAGGGAGGAGGGAAGAAAGAGAGTATGATGAGTCTGTAAGGGAGGACTGAAGAAAAGGGTATAATAATTCTGTAAGGGAGGAGGGAAGAAAGAGATTATGATTAGTCTGTAAGGTTGGAGGGAAGAAAGAGAGTATGATGAGTTTGCAAGGGAGGAGGGAGGAATAAGTGTATGATGAGTCTGTAAGGGAGGAGGGAAGAAGGGTAAGATGAATCTGTAAGGGAGGACGAAAAAAGAGAGTATAATGAGTCTGTAAGGAAGGAGGGAAGAATGAGAGTACGATGAGTCTCTAAGAGAGGAGGGAAGAAAGAGAGTATGATGAGTCTGTAAGGGAGGAGGGAAGAAAATGGTATAATGAGTCTGTCATTCAGGAGGGAAGAAAGAGTGTATGATGAGTCTGTCAGTGGGGAAGGAAAAAAGGGTACGATGAGTCTGTATGGGATGAGAGAATAAAGAGAGTTTGATGAATCTGTAAGGGCGGAGGGAAGAAAAGGGTACGATGATTCTGTAAGGGAGAAGGGATGAAAGATATTATGATTATTCTGTAAGGGAAGAAAGAAAATATGATGAGTCTGTAAGGAAGGAGGGAAGAAAGAGTGCAATGAATCTATAAGGGAGGAGGGATTAAAGAGGATACGATGAGTCTGTAAGGGAGGAGTAATAAAGGGGGACGATGATTCTGCAAGGGAGAAGAGAAGAAAGAGATTATGATGATTCTGTAATGGGTTAGTGAATAAAGAGATTATGATGAGTCCGTAAGGGAGGAGGTAAGAAAGATAGTACGATTAGTCTGTAAGGGAGGAGGGAAGAGAGCACGATGAGTCTCTAAGGGAGGAGCGAAGAATGAGAGTATGATGAATCTGTAATGGAGGCGGTAAGAAATGGTTATGATGAGTCTGTAAGGGAGGGGAGAAATAAGAGAGTATGATGAGTCTGTAAGAGAGGAGCGAAGAAAGAGAGTATGATGAGTTTATAAGGGAGGAGGTAAGAAAAGGGTATGATGAATCTGTAAGGGTGGAGGGAAGAAAGAGAATATGATGGGTCTGTAAGGGAGGAGGTAAGAAAAGGGTATGATGAATCTGTAAGGGTGGAGAAAGAAAGAGAATATGATGAGTCTGTAAGGGAGGAGGTAAGAAAGATAGTATGATGTCTCTGTATGGTTGTAGGATCGAAAAGGTTATGATTAGTCTGTATGTGAGGAGGGAAGAAAAGGGTATGATGAATCTGTAAGGGAGGAGGGAAGAAACGAGTATAGTGAGTGTAAGGGTGAAGGGAAGTAAGAGAGTATGATGAGTATGTAAGGGAGGAGTGAATAAATTGGTATGCTGAATCTTTAAGGGAGGAGGGACGAAAGAGAGATGATGAGTTTGTAAGGGAGGAGGGAAGAAAGAGAGTATAATGTCTGTAAGTCTGGAGGGAAGAAAGAGATTATGATTAGGAAATAAGAGACGTTTGTTGTTGATAGTAAGGGATGGTTTGTAGATGTCTGTTTATGGCTGCGTGAATGACATGACCAAACAATTTATACGTAAAGTACCACAAAACATGAAACCCAAGAAGGAACAAAATTTTTTTAGAAACATAACATTTGACTTTATTCTTGTATATTGATTTACATGCGTAGAAGTTAAAAGATCTGTGGGTGTTATGTCCCTTTGACTGTGAATATATTTATCTGAACTCACAAAATTTGAATTAATTACAAAGCTGGAAATGATGAATTGTATCTTTAGAAGAATGTTTCAAAGTGAAAAGGTCTTGTTGCTTGTTTGGAAATATTTTGTATGTTTGTAATATGCTTTTAACGTCTGACCGTTCAAGGTCGAGACGAGAATCCTTTTGGGACTTCATCTTGTAGCAAGAAAAGAGTGAAAAGAGAAAAAGAAAGCAGCAAGCTTGTGTCTGCTATTTATAGATAATGTAATCACGTGTTAGTATCGAAACTTAACTTGGTCACGCGCTGGAAGAATATTTACGTTGCTGGATTGCAACGCCCCCTTGTTTGTGTATTGACCAATTAGAAGCTGGTATTTCCTGACAATATTTCCTAAGCAGAATAGGTTTACTGATCCACTTTTCTGCGAAAAAATTGTATAAAATTCATCATTGATAAGACAGTGGTAACGTGATGCTAAATATTTGTGAGGTCGAGTAGAAAACATATAAGTTAAGCCTGAACCTAATGAGACCATGATTTTAATTGCCAGGGAAGTATTATCATGGGAGTTTTCTCTACAAAGTAACGGTGAGAACTTACTTTTTTTATCAGCGGGGAAGACGACAGGAATAGGGATACGACATGGCGGGTCATAGCGTTTTCCTTATCTAAAAATTATCGTCCCTTCTGGGTAAAACAGTTTTTCGTTTCCTTCTCAGAAAGTTTAAATTCTGAGTCGTCTTCCTCCTAGACTGACTGCAAGAGGAAAGGGGTTCCTAATGTTTGTTAAAATTGACCGTGTTTCCTAGTTATTATCATTCATCATTAATCTTCTTGGCGTGTGTAAATCAACTGTTCATTTTAACCCCTATACACCACGCTACAATAAGTCTTTCTGATAGCTTGCTATGATTATCTTTAATTTAAGCAATTTTGAAATGCTGAATTACTTGTATTCCGTTTTTTTCTAAAATTCCTAATGTGAATCTGTAAACATTTCTACAAGTTGTTCATTTTTGTTTGTTATGATTTGTTATTATTAAGATATGCATTCGGAAAAAAGATTAATATAACTCCATTGTTTCATTAAAAAACGCATTAATAACAAAAGTCAGAAGCTTTTATTGATTGGAGTTTCGATGAAACCATCTTGCAAATATTCAGTGGAAGAAAAACTAGAATATTTTTTCTTTGTTGCGGACGATGGAGTTCTGTTAGTTCCCTAATGGTCGATAGTTTACTCTTTCTGACAATTTGTTAAAAAAATGAAATTTAAAATTTTCTGATTTATTTTCATGAAGCGAGTTACTGACATAACGTTCAAGTGTGTAATTTCGTGAATAAATTCTCTTCCTTTGTTAAAATTACCCGCGTGTTTGTTTGGTTATCATCCACCATTAATGTTTTTGGCGTGGTTAAATCAACTGTTAATTTTAACCCCGAAACCCCACGACACTACAAGTCTTTCTAATAGATTGATGTGACTAGTTTTAAATTGTGCAATTTTAAAATTTCTTGTATTCAATTCGTTTTTTTTATATTCCTAATGTAACTCCTACAAGATTTGTTTTTCCTTTTCTGTGTTATGCTTTGCTATTAAGATATTAATTCCAAAAACATGGCTCCATTTTTTTATTAAAATTATGCATTAGTAATCAAATTTACAAGATTTTATTGATTGGAGTTTTCGATGAAACCATATCACAAATATTCAGGAAAAAAAAAACTAGAATATTTTTTCTTTATTGGGAGTGATGGAGTTGGTTCTTTAATACTCGGAGAGGTGGAATTAATTCTCTCCAGTTACTTCACCAATATTTGAAAAGAAATTTAAATATTCGATGTTCATCAGGCGTCATTATAACAATATTTCTAGTGAGTGTTATTTTTATTAGATTTCAAGTATGTTTGACATTTTCTAAATAATTTCTCAAGCAAATATTAAATTCTATGACAAACGGTCATAATAAATATATGCAAATATAAAGTATAAGATAAAGTAATAATGATTTACACTATTTACATTGCCTTTCGTCCTCATCTTTATTGTCATACTCACGACGTTTCGGCCGTTGTACGCTACGGCCTTCTTCAGATGATATATATTGGAATTTCAAATCGAAAGTTTTAACTGAATTAATTGAAACAGAAATATCCAGGATAGGCGTGACACGTGGTACTAGATCAATCAAACGCAGTGGACTAAGGAAATGGTTCGATTCGAAATTCCAATCTGTATCAGCTGAAGAAGGCTGGAGCGTACAACGGCCGAAACGTCGTGAATATAATAATAAAGATGAGGACAACAGCTGGAACAATGTAAATAGAGTAAATAGTTAAAATAATATTATAGTCGTCAATAATAACTTTTATGGTAAATTTTCCTTATACAGTGTAAGACAAGTTTTCTTAAATCTAAGCTAACATTTTTTTTTAAATCGAAGGAAATTTGTCTTCATGACAACAGAAATATTTTTCAATAAATTCTATGTCAAATTAATAAAGTCTGAGGAAAATTTTAACAGAGTCCGATGTAAATATTTCTGATAAATTTGAAGGTAAATCTTCCTAATACAGTTTATATTAAATTATACTAATGGCGACTAAGACAAAGTTTGTTCATAAATTTTGAATCAGATTTTGTCAGAGGTATGCGAATTATGCTTCATTAAGACTAAAGGAAATTTTCTTACTTAATTCTAAGGTAAATTTCATGAATAATGTTTTAGGCAAAAGTAATCAGAGCATGGTGCATTGAACCTTAAAACGCAAATCTTTAAATAAAAAAATATATTTGATAACACGTCACAAAATTCATAAACAATAATCAGTTGTACATTGCAGGTACAAAACATTGTTTTAAAGCATTATTGGTGCATGGCAGAGTTATACAATTGAGACACACACATATATATATATATATATACAAAAAAATAGGCATGAAATAATGGAAGATTTTGATAAAAAAAGTAATAACCAACACCCATTGCTATCAACTCTGAACCCGGCCACAATATGTTGACCGTGTTTTGAAAATAAATCATTCCTACGAATTTATATACATACGTAAAACATTACATATATTCAGTTTTAATAAAAGTAAAAAAAAATAAAACATTCATGATAACGGCTAAAAATATAGCCGAAAGCACACGGGCATACAAAACATTGGAACAATTTCTGCATAATTTATATTTAGAAATACATATATATATATATATATATATATATATATATATATATATATATCAGAACATAATAATATTAAATGAAAAACTTAACTGCTGTAGAATGTTTTCCTTGTGTTTTTCAATGTTACATATTGTTGATATGAGACATTCTCTGTTTTTGTGTTAGTAATCCGAATGTCTTTCATGAATTATATATATATATATATATATATATATATATATATATATATATATATATATATATATATATATTAATTTCTCCCCAAACAAGGCAATAAAGCCACTAGGAAGTAAGGGATTACTGATTGTTTATGAGAAAAATACTATTAAGAAGAGAAGACAATAAAGAACAAGAATTAAGAAGCCAAAAGATAATGATTGGTATTGCACATAATTTTTTGAAGATTGTAGTTGACACGGAAGCAAGAAACCGGAAGTGACTCATTCCACAAACAAGACATCCCATAGAAGAAATTGTTAGCATAGAACTTATGGTTACATCTAATTATTCCCACTGTAAAATGGTGAGAACTTGCTGCCAATTAATATGAGAAGCGCACTCCAGAAATCTTAATAAAGAATATGTAACCGGGCTGGTCTGTGACGATCACTGTGGCCGAGCGGTCGAAAACACATCGGCTCAAACGATTATTTCTCCTATAAAAGGGGCACCAGAAAGTACATTTACTTTATTAAGATTTCTTAAATGAGCAAGCATGTTTGAAATAAAAAAATATGGCGTCTATTTCAAACACGAGTATCAATAAGGTTTGAATTAATAAAAAACTGTATTCAAAATAAATCCTTTAATTATTTAGTTTGTCATATTTTTCTGCTTAAAATTAATATTAAAATAAGTACTGGTTAAGGGTCTTAATTCAATGTTAATAAACGTTCATATTTTCCTCCTTCTTCAAAATGCCGTGTCCATTCGGGACTTTGGCGATAACTGCTCTCCACAACTTCCCGTCCTTTGTATCTCTTAATAAATTTTATCTTATTGTTATCTCTCCTAAACTTTTATCCGCGCTCCATTTACTCATGTTTTCCTTTGTCTGTCTTGCCTTCAGTCTGCCCTGTGAGTATTAGATTTGCCAAGGCTTCTTTCATCATTATCTACCCTAGAAATTTCAACTGTCTGTTCTCCATGCTAAGTATAAATATCCTTTTGGTTTGCATTTTCTCTAAAATTTCGTTTTTCCTCACATGTTCAGTTCAAGATATTCTCAGCATCCTTCTGTAGAACCATGTTTATGTTTCCTCACGTTTCTTTTGTGAAGAGATTGCCCAGCACTCACTGACATATAGGAGGACTGATATTTCATAACAGTTCAATACTCTTTTCTTTATTTCTTACGAAATTTTCCTCTTTCTTAATACTTTACTTAGCATTTGAAAGATACATTTCTGTATCTCGAACTTCACGGCGAAGATGTACCGTACCATCCTCATTCCCTCCGTATTCCTTTGAGGAAATGTAAGTTCCACTCGAACAGCCTCTTCCCACGAACCACAGCTCTGTGGAGCTGATTCCCTAAGGGATGTTTTCCTGATCACTACAACCTTAACCTATCTAGGGTTAAGCGTTATCTTCACCAAATATCTGCAGAAACTATGTCTCTTACTATTCTACCTCGTGTGGCTCTCAAGTCTTGTCTTTTAGACAAGGTTTCTCTTTACTTCTAAAGTCTGCTTCCAATTTATATTTCTAATACCTCCGACCAAACACTGAAATTGTATTCACTAATTGATGTGTTCCTCTTCCAATAGATGGAGATAGGTTTCCTGTGCCATCGCCGAATTTAAGCAATATCGAGCCTGTTCATTACGTAGATGGGTGACTGTTTGGTGGTGCAGGTGGTGTAATGGATAATGGCATGCAATTGTTAATATGTGAGCCGAGTTTCAATTCCAGTTGGATTCGTTATGTTAACTTGCGCGCAACTACCTTTGCTCTCCTTTTTCTCTGAAAAACAGCACAGCATCATGAAAAAGGCCCTAGACTTAATAAAAACAAATTTTTATCGTCGAAATATTTATGTTACTATTAAGAGCAACGACAAAATATTTTTTATTATTTTATTACAGTTTTTAATCCTTTCTAGCCCATTCGATATCTTTTGTCAGCGGTCGACGTAATATTTACGATTATTGTCTTTGCGCTTTTATCCGCTGAAAAATACATTGATTTGGAAATTCTTGCAAAAATCTAATAATTGTTGGATTTTAATGAAAATTTCAGGAATTATTCACAAATGAATTAGATTAGTTTTTACTTTTTTTTTTTAGAAAATCCTGGTAATTTCTTTTGTTATATGCTACTTAATTTCTTGAAATTTTGAGAAATTAAATTGCAATTCCAAAATTTGTTTTATGAGTTAAAAGCAGGAATCCTTACAAAGAATCCATGTAAATCATAATTTTTTTTCAAACTAGTAATTATTTCCCGAATATCGGCTTTAATCTTAAAAAAAAATGCTATAAAACTTTGACATAATTTAATTAGAAAAGCTTCTAACTATTTCTTTATGAAAAGAAAAAAAATGAATAATGAATTTTTACAAGTTTTTTTTTTAATTTTAATTATGACATTATAAACCTTTAAAATGCTGCATTACTTCAATACAGTAAGGTGATATTATTATTAAGTGAAAACTATATTTACAAAAATTAAAAAGCTCAATAAAAGACGTTTACACTCAATATATAATTTTTTATCTTTAATGTATATAAAATATTGTTTGAAAGTATGGCCGACCATACACAACATAATCAGAAAGTAAGAGCAATGACTTTAGTAAATTAAACTGAATATTCGTAAAATTAGATTACGGAGAATATTTTCAAACATTTTTAAGATTATTGAGTATTTAAAAATTATGTAAAAAAGGCGCTCACTCGTCATTTTCTTAAATTATGTTTTGACAGATGAAGTCTCTGGAGAACAACAGTAAATGTGTTGACAGATTTTATTATCGCTTGTCAAGTGATCTACGAGAGCCAAGCAACGGTGATAAGCGTGTAATCATCGGTACCGTTTCTTTTAAAAATCCATTTTTCTTTCATTTTAAAATTAATGTAAATATATATTTTTCAAATCAGATTAATTATAATTTAAATCATCTAATATTCCCCAAATAAAGTTTCAGAAAAGTGTGACACTATTTAGGGTTGCGTGGAAAAAAAAGAGGCGAGAATTAAATTAGGTGATAAGAAGCTATCCCGAAAAGACACTGAGCGATGTTATTTTTTCTAACAAAGAAAAGTGGTAAAGATTTTATTTTCATTAGCGAAGAAAGTAAGATACCGGATTTAATTTGATTTACGTTACGACTCGGCGAAAGAAGATAGCAATCTGCCCATGGCAATAATGAAAATTTCAGGTTGGTCAAGTGGCCTACGAAAGAGAAACTGGGAGATAATGATAATCAGGTCACGCGTTCTGACCGAGAAAAATGTCAGCTGGACCACCCACAAGTTCGAAAGAAAGAAAGATTAAACCATTAACTATCGTCGGAGATAACATTGGTGTGAAAGAAAGCACCTGTTTTATTGTCCAAACCTGGATATGATAAAAATTATTTTATCGGAACAGATAATTGACGAAAATCTCGTTGACGAACTCCAGATGAAATTCGGTTAAGATAGAGATTAGAGA